TTTCTTCCCCCCCCCCCCCCCCCATCTGTTCCACTTTTGCCTTTTCTGAAATATGTAAAAAAGAAACTTCAGGAAGCTTTAATAAAAATTAGACCTGTGGTATAGATCATCATATGTCCATCTGCATTCCATGTATCATATGCCATGACACTACTGTCTTTGTGGCTAGAATGCTTTCTGTCTCTCCTGCAATAGTTGGTCTGTTTTTCTCAATGTATTCTGTCCGGTGCAAACACTGGTTTTACTTCTCTTACTGATTTCTCATAAGAAAGTAGTTAATGCTACCTTTTTGGAAATTATACCTTTTCCCCTCCCTCTTTCTCCCTTGGAAAATGCAAGCATTTGTTCGTTTTGGTGAGAACATGTAACACGGGGAGCGAGTCAAATATTTGCATTCAGAATTTTATTTAGTGGGTCTTTTGAAAAAGTGAATATAATCAAAAGCCATCAACAGCCAGGTAACTTTCATTGATATGCCTTTGCCTATGTCTGATGTAAAGAACGAACCTTTGAAAGCAATAAACTAGGTGTTCTTTTTTTTTTAATGGAAAGGTTTAATTAGTATTTGTCAGTTCATGGTTTTTAGACAAAATTCGACGCTTCCAGAATTGGTGGATTTGTAGCTGCCAGCTACCTCGTGTCTGTATTTATATAACATATCACTTGTGATGGTTTGGCTGAAGTGCATTGCAGCATTTTCTTACTTGATTTAATTTGAATGATTTTGATGCCATTAAATCTTCTTTCTTACACTAACACTGCTAATCTATATTTAATCAATTAAAATAATGGAACTGTACAGTTCTGAGATGTGAATTTTTGGGAATATTTCAGCATAAACTGCTGAGAGAATGAGAAATAACTCGTAGACTATTACATGTCTGGTAACATAATTTAAGAGACTGACTTATAGAGCATGAAAAGGGCTGGTTGTTCACTTGGTTGTATGTGGTGGAAGTTGATCCAACAATAGTTATTCCTCCTTTTCCATTCTTTCACCATTTGTATCTTGTGAAAATCTGCATATCCAGCTGTAAGCAGATACCTTTTGCAGAAGGGGGGAAAAAAGGTGGTGGAGGGAGCCGACCTGATGTTTGACACCAGGGTATGTAATAGAAAGGATGATTGTAAAAAGATTCCTGCAGTGATTTTAAATATGCTGCTTTCACATTTTGCTCACACTGGAACAAGCCTAAGTATAATTAATTACAAAATTTAAAACGTGTTTGACTACTGCATGAAGTTGAGAGCCTCCTCTGAATGGTCTTATTACTTGAAGAAGATTTTGAAGCACTACTGCTTACTCTCCTCCAGAAAGGTTATGTTGTTTTACAGGTGTCCATGTTTGATCAGTGTTTACTTAGTAATTTGTTTTCTCATGTTCTTGTGGTTTCTCTTAGGTAACCTACTTAAATGCCAGAATTTTAATTTTCATCTTTAAAGTGTTTAATTAATTATGTTCTTTCCTCAAGATTTGGATTTGCTATTGTTAGCAAATAGGGCTTTTTCTTCTCAAAACTGTATTTGTACATCTTGCAAAGTAAAGCACCATTTTAAGCTGGTTTTGTGAGGGGCAAAGTGCAAAAGTTCTACTAAATATAATGGTTTTGGTTGTTTTGGTTTTTTTTTTAATTGCATTTGAAAATTTGTATCATGTTGGTGGTCATCAACTGGGATTTTAACTAACTGTGCTCTGAAGCATTGCCAAACTTCTTGTGTTTTGGTGGTTTGAAGGAGAGATGAGTTTACTGTGGAGCAAAAAGAAACCCCAAAGATGGTACGATTCATGCTTAGTAAACCTTAAGCTAGAACAAGCAAGCCTGTAGAAATACCCATGTTACCAATAATGTGCCTTACTCATTGATAATAAAGTCCATAAAATGTTGCAAGATGTGCACCTACCAACTGCCTTGATGGCGCTCATCTCCTGAAAGCAAATTGAGAATACTTGACACGCAGCAAGACAGTCAGGAATCAATCCCTCAACTATTACAAAATAAATGCATAATGCACATTCCTCCTAAACGTTTGTTATTTTATAGGGGATACTGAATGAAAATTTTAGTGACAGTTGTTAAACACTAATAAAAATAGTAATAAACAGTGTAATTTAGACAAGTATTTGTGTTTTACGTGCTTGTGTATGTGGTGAGTTTGTAGAAGTGTATTTCCTATTCAGTAGCTTTCAGGACAATAATTCTGGGCCTAGAAATACTTGTCACATTTCTCTTACACTCCCTTTTAATGCAGAAGGCTTCTCTATTACACCTGGTAATCATCGTATGAGAAAGGCAGGATGTCTGACTGCTACTGGTTTTTATTCTCGCCTCTAGTTTCTGAAAACAGCCACGTTGCCCCTGGTGTGGCAGGTCTTAGCTGCTAGATGAGGAGGAATAAACTGGTATTAAGCAAGTCTCTATATGTATTACTGTAGCAAAAAAAGGTGACTTAAAACTACTGATGGTCTTTTATGAAATTCCAGATAGAAGTGAAGCAGTGGGACAAAATACATTTCTTGTGAATTTTTCTAAGTGATGTGTTCAGAACTCTTTTGTGATGCCTAGGAAGATTTCTGAGGTGGGAAGGTGTTGGAAGAGCATGTTGAATGCCTGTTTTCTTTAATAAAATTTTAAAATCTTAATGCATCTGTGTGAACTCTGCATAATGAAGCAACTGTGGGAGAGGGGTTTCTTCTTCTACCTCTTCTGATGATTGTGTTATTCCCTAAAACAGTGTATTACACATTTTCTGTGCAGACCCAACTGATCATGGGCTAAAATAATATGAAGGATGTATGTATTGGTTGTAATGCTGCTTATGCATTACATAACTTAATGCTGCTTAAAAAAACCCCAAAAACTGAAGGAATATGTTTCACTAGCTAATCTCAAATTCCATAGGAATGAGTACTCCATGCAATGGTTAAAATATCAGCTTTTTACATTACCTTCGTGTTGATGTGGTTTGTAACCTTTTTTTTAAATGGATGTGTATCTTGAGCTGAATTGATAAAGCTGTAAATGAATGTACAGTGAATTCCATTCTATAAAATACATGTCTCATACTAGCTCTCAAGTAGCATTCTCGTATTCAAAGCATTCCATGAAGTTTTTCAGTCCTTACCATTTTAAAATAGTGATAATATAAATGGCCTTTTATTATTTATACTAGTGCCAAACTACATAAATGGATAACTTAATGGATGATGTTGAGATAATGCACAAATAACCAGTGATTGGGATCTCTTGATAAAATGCATGTTTTCCATACTCATTTATGACTTTTCACCATTTCTTAATGGAAGCATCCCAACCTTCTGCTTTTAATATATGCAATATGGATCAAATGTAAACATGGGTTTATAATGTGTAAACTATGCAGTTTGGGTTTAAAAATCCCTAACAAACTGTATATTAACTCAGAAATACTGAAGGAATGGTTATGCAGACGTAAACAAGGTTTTCCTCAGCTGC